GTACGAGGCGCCAGCCGCAACGAAGACCCCTCCAAAGTGGTGCGTGTCCTTATGGCGTCCCTTTAAACGATCCCCAGAGAGGGTGCCCTCAAAAAGAGAAACACCCAATCTTGCCTTAAATTGGTGTTTTTTTTTGTCAGATTGGTTGAGACACCCTAGAAGAGCACGAAGCAATGCAGAGCTCGCGCCGGTTGTGATTACACCTGGGTTCTCAGACAAAAGGGTTTCGAGGCTAAGACAGGAATGTGTTGTTGTGCTTGGGGCAAATGGCAATTTGCATAGACTTCAGCCAGGAGTTGTTCTTAATCGCAGGCTGGCTCACATCTTTCATGATGGATTCCGAATGGAAACGTGGAACTGGGGTTTGCGACTGGAAAAGCAAATTGGGCACATTGTGATGCAAACTGGAACAACGTCGAACCTTACGGTATCTTACGGTTCTTGAGCAAAGGCATAAGGCTGAACGAAACTCAGTGTCGCGCATTCTGACGGGGTGGTTTGTGAAGTTGGCCCTTTGAGGGGTGCGTTTTGGGGCACAGTGAAACCACCAATCTTTTCCCGAATTTGAGACGCGCCGGCTGGCTTCCGAGCCTTTCGCGCTCTGACACACATTCAAGGCCAAGAGAAGAGCCGGGCGCCAAATGTGCTCATAGGCGTGCTTTTTGAGGGTACCCGTTTTGGTGTTGAAAGGGACATCTAAAGAAAACTGCTTTATTATGTTTGTGTCTTTTCTTGTCTTTTTTCTTTTTGTTTTGTTCGAAAGAACAAAAAGAGAAAAATAGAAACAACAAACAAAACAAATCACACAACGAACCGAACACATGGCAGTGGGCCGCTGTTGGAAGACAACTTCCGAACGTGGCCTGTGCACTTTGATGGCGAGTCCATTGGCCAAGGCTGAGTGACCAATGACCTCCGAAGCAGGCAAGGCGGCGAGAAGGGCGTGGTAAGTTGCGGTGGGTTTCTCGCTAAATAGGAACTATTTCCCCCAGCTAGATGCCCTTTTAACGTTGCTTTTTTGGGGGAGGGTTCCCCTACTAAAATAGACTAAAGAAAAAAATGGTAGACGTATTCTAACCTCTCTACTGGAGGACCTAGTAGGAAATCAACACCCCTCCAACAAAAGCCTGTGTCTTGATAGGAAAGCCCCGATTGGCACTCGTGGTGTGTGTTTAGTCGTTCACAGAGCACATTCAGCTAGCCCTTCAATGGATGTTTGGATCAAGGCTTTGAAGCCCTAGGTTGCCTTTGCACGGGGGGGGGGGGGTTAAGAGGGAGAGAGAGAAAAAAGAAGAAATGCCCTTGTTAATGAAAGGGAAAACAACGATACCGGCACCACAGGACATGGACGATTGGCCATGCTTCACCATGATCCATCTGACGGCACTCGGCAGGACTCTCTGATCTCCGACGCGAAGTGATGATCGAGTGTTCCGCACCTCGACCCTGCTTCGCCGGCACGAAGGAAGCCTTGCTTCTCAACTCAGCCATGGGTAGCCAGAAATCACTGCCCTGAGACGTGACAAGAACTCCGACCAATTTTCCGCCAGGGAAGCGCACCTCCGCGCGGGCGCCGGGGGTGAAAGACACCCGCAGAGTTCTCACTCCTGGCAACATTCGATGCGGATTGCTGGCTTGTTGCCGGTCTTTGTCGAACTTGGTGCCGATGACTTCAGTTGTCGAACTTGGTGCCGATGACTTCAGTAGCTAAGAACCGCGGTTTGCATTTCAATGCGACTTCTCACGGGGCATCCACCTTGCCTTCTTAGTTGCCCCAGTTGGCAAGGCATTTGTGCGTTGAGAAGCTTCCAGGGGCAGACGGGACTGGGCAAGCTCACGCTAGCTAGGAATCACGACAACTGGCCTGGAATGTTTCATGTCAGACCTCATTTTCTCAGCCAGCAATCCATGTAGCCGCGTAGCTTTGAACTGCAATGATGTGACCAGGTCATTTGATTCGCATGTTGCTCATGCGGCAGAACAAGTATGCTATCACTGCAAGGTATGGAGTGCAGCACAGAATTCGTCCAGGCAGCACTCAGCTGAAAAGTGGCATTTGGCGTGCGGCACCGTTGGGTTTAGTTTCCGGCCTTAGTTGCGAGCTGAGGTTCTCTCATCGGACCATCGAGCGTGAAGCAATCTCAGACTAATCTCGTTTCGCTAGAAATAAAGAACCGACCGCTGACCCGCTGACCTGGCCCTTTCCTCGGCTCTCTTCACGTAAAATGCCTGCAATTCCAACTCGTTCCTCAGCTTCGGGCAAGAAGATCGTGACCCCAATTCCCAAACCTTAAGGATTTTCAGTTGTAGCACACGCCTTAACGTTCTAGGGTCAGAGATATCAAGACAATGCCTTCTGCTGGCCAAGACACCCAAGGCGTGACATAAGCAGGCCCCTTCTATTAAGGACGCGACTGCAATCTGGGCGCGAGCAATCCAGCCGCAAGCCTTGCTGATCAAGTGGCGCTTGCGCAATCTTGCTTGTTGAAATTACTGCGGCCCGCGCAACAATTTCAATAGATCTCAGCTGAGTGTCCTGGCAGAGCAAACCCATTGCAACGGCCATTTGCAGGTTCCAGCATCTGGGACTTAAACTCGGCTAGAATATTGACAGCCCACCTGGGGCCCTCAGAGTAGATCATATCAATGAGTGCATCATTAAAGGGAACGACACGATCTGATCGCTGCGCTCATCGTGCCGCGGATTCGTGGGATTCGGGTAGAGGCCAAGCACGTTGAAAGGTTTGAGTGATGGGAGCCTGTCATGATCCCTGACGCGCTGATTCTGACAAACTCATCAGGCTGTGTGTCAGCGTCGCCCGAGCAACAGCAAAGCTCCGTTCGTGCTGAGGTCGACTTACGCGCGCCAATATTTGGGAAATGTATGTGGCAACATGTGGCTGACTCATCTCAGGGCTTGATGGGACTGCATTTGAAGGGGTCAAGAGGCTCGAAGCTTCATTGGTTGCTTTGAGCTGATTGCCCGTGTGTAGTTCCGTCTATCCGCTTCCTGCTGTCTCTTCCGAGCGAACCTGCCGCCAGGGCCGCAAGACTTGACTCGTGAGGCTTGTGACCCTGAGAGGTCGGGTCCTCAGTGGCGCGCTTTGGGCAGGTAGCGACGGGCCGCCTGGATTCACTTCCTGTTTTGCTTCAAGCTCAACCTCGGGGGTCAATATGCAGGCGAAGCCGATAAGCAACCTTGAGAAGGATCCAGCTTATTTGACCGATATTCCTTGAGATGCGTGTAGTTCATTTTACCCCTCTCAATCTCAAATCGGCAAGCAACGTATTTGTGATGACCCTTTACCGGGCCGTTGGTCGGCCGTTTGCAAATCCTTGAGTTGCACTTCCAGCTTTTTTCAGTGCAAGTTCCGAAGCGATTGCGCACGAAGCAGTTCCTAACCCGCAGATGGAGTTGGTGATTTGGTCTTGCCCCTTAGGAAGAAGAACTTGAACACGCCCGAGGGTGTCCTTCGGCTGTAACCGAGCACTGATTTGCAAATGCCGCAATGCGAAATGCGGGCGGCTGGCTGCTGGCCTTTGCTGCAAAGTATCAGCTGGTACTTTGAGGAAGGCGTTGCGCGCCTTTCCAAAGCTGTCACTTTCCCATCCAGAAGCCTGGCTCGGCTGGGATGTCAAGCGCGACATCGGCGCTTCGAAAGCTGGCTTGCTAGGGATGCTGCACTTGGCATGTCAAGAGTGTATGCCAGGAGTCACCAGATCGCGCGAAGGAATTCGACTTGGAGCCTCGCGCTTCCAAAGCTTGCCAGCGAACTTCCTGGCGAGTTTGACAGGGACTCAACGCACAACTTTGACAGGGACCTGCGAGTGCAAGCTGGGTCCTGCAAAAGCGCGGCGCCCTTGCTGCCCCGGCTTTGCATGACCCGTTGCCCTGCCTTGCCGCCCCAAAAACGTGGGCGGAGCCAAGGATGGGCGTGAAACCTGGCACGGCTCGCTGAGAAAGCCGCCTCTCCGCCGAGGGCTGTTGCGAGACCCAATCTTGGCAATGATCCAGGGTGTGTGAGCAAGTGATGGGGGCCCTCAGCCTGCATGAAGTGGGGTGCGTGACGTCGGCCAAGCATGAAGCACCCCGGTTCTCTCAAAAGCGGCGTGTGGCAAGTTCGGTGAGGTTGCGGAGTTGAGCGTCCACGCTCGCCCCTTGCACATCTTCCCGCCGGACCAGAGCAGCCCATAGCCTTCGAGGCTTCGCAGGCGAAGTAGCGAAGTAGCGAGAATTCTCGCAGCGTGACGCACGACGTCGGTGCCGGCGTCAGCCACACCGGTTTTGAAGTGAAAGCGGAGGCAGCCCATGGTGGCTGAGTCCCGGACCATGCACGTGTAAAGGCTTGTGCGCAACAGCAGGTTACGACGTGTGGCATTTGAAGGAACATTTAGAGGCGTCTCGCCCGTGATGGCGATGTAGTCCTCTTCGCAGCTCTTTGCCTGTGGCAGGCCTTCGCAAAAAAGACGCGCCCGGATTTCAGCTGGGGACTCGGATGGTCCAGCGACCTGGGATCGACCGTTCGATCCCTGGGCGGTTTGAAGTTTGGGGGACTAGGCAAAGGCCATCTGCCCCAGTCTCATCGCTGAAGTGCAGCGCGAACCGCCGGATCAGTCCTGGGAAACCAAAGTAATCTTGTCCAGCACATAATTCTTCGAATCGCTGTGATCCTGTGAAGAGTGCATTGACATGGGATGCATCCATAGAATTCTCTCATTCTCGCAGAGTCAGCACTTAGTGAGCCCGGTCGCGATGTTTACACTGTGCCGCGCACAGCTTGCCGTTCAGGATCCGTGCCATCAGTCTCCCGACTGGCTTGCCCACCAGCTGGTGAGGCTTCGCTCCCTTCAGCTTGGGCGCGTGCGCAGTCACACAATTCGGTCACCAACATCGTGCTCCGCCACTTCATTTCACGGAGATCAGATTTCAGACTCCTCTCTGCTGAGTTGCTGGTCGTTTTCCTGCAAGTGAGCGCGTTTGAGTTTGCTGCCGCGGCAAGATGGTCTCCCAAAGCAGGTCTACAAGCAGCAGCTCAGACTGGGTTCAGTTCCCATCCGGCCACCTCGATGTTGCGCTCGCAGCCAGCGGCGGCCTCGCAGCCAGTGGTGTTGAAGAAAACCAAGCAGTGAAAGGCTTCCTGCTGCCCAGCAGTCAAGAGTTTCCACCTGCTCTGGAGCTTCGCTCGTGCGGAAACGGTGCGGTCTGCACAGGTGGCCAAAGTGCCCAAGCAGCGGAGACGCGCTTGGCCAAGCGCAGCACGTATTTAGCGTCGCTGGCTTGCCTGCGTCCGCTCATCAGTGACTCGCCATGGATGACTCACAGCTGAGCTCGGAGCGCTACCTGATCCTTCCCGCGGAAGTGCCTAGTGTCCGCATCAAAGGCCAGGGCTAGTCCGGAGTCGACTTGTTAGAGCTGCTTGGTTTGCATGCTCTCCCGTAACTCAAAGCCCTGGCAGGCATATCCTGCGCAAGGATTGGGTGGTATGAGCCCCCACATGGTAAGGGAGTGCCATCCATTGCTTACACATCATTGCAAGAGCAAGCAGATGATTTGAGGGCGTTGCCTCAAGACACATGGTTTCTTTCACATGGCTGTGGCTCACAAAACCGGTACCAAAATGAAACCCTGGTAAGTAGACACATGGACCAAAACCTGCGTAACCCCTCCTGTCTAATTTTGAGCCACAGCCACATAAGGCCTCGATTGCAATTTGTGAATTTTCCGGTAAACTAGTGAGCGGTTCTCGGGCCACCAGAAAAAATGCGGACACCTTCGGCTGAAGAGCTGCGTCACGCGTTGGTTTTCGTCCAAAGGGAAGTGCATGTTAGGGCAGCCTCGGTATGCACACTGATGGAAGTCAACTTGCAGAGGGGAGGGGCTCTCCTGTGCGGTTTAGTGCTGGAAAGGGCTCCTAGGCTACATGTTTGTTTGTCGCATCGGGAGCAGCTGTTGTCAACCCACAGGTGGCGCGAAGGGGACAGCATCGGTTGTCCTGACCATGTCCTCTCCTGAATACGGGGAAAGGGACAGCACATGCAAATGTCCTTCCTGACTACTTGGGTGTCTTGAGCTTGATGCCGCAAGATGGTCGCCCTGAGCTCTGGAGACCTAACCGCCACCCAGACATGAACAGCTCTCCGGTCCTTGACGTGATCAATTCTTTCTCCTGGCGGCCTAGTTCAGCGACCTGCGTTCGGTATTCGGCTTGCCTGGCGATGAGGACCCAGCCTCGCAATGCATAGGCCATGGCTAGCCTGCGGCCTCTCACCAGTTTGGGTGCTGTCTGACTGATGTTGGCCTCGAGCAAGCAACAAAAACCGGTGAAAGGCTGACGGCTCAATGCATGCGTGTGCATTTAGCAAGCAGAGAATGCTTCCCACAACTTGCCACACCAAGGGTGCAGTCTGGGTGGGGCACGGATCAAGGCCAAAGTGCCCAAACAGGGGACACTCGCTTTGCCACCAGTAGCTCGTATTTAGCGTTGCTGGCTTGCCTGCAGCGTCCGCTCACCAGTGTCCTGGGCAATGATGGAGTGGTATGAGCTGCCGTATGACAAGCACGGACACGCAAGATCAGCCATTGATTTCCATGAGTTGTGTGCTAAATGCACAGCCCAGGTCGCATGTGAAATCCCCCAGTGAGTGGGCTGCTGTTGTTGAGTTTGCTGCCGCAAGATGGTCGCCCTAAAATGTGTGCAAGCGCGCTGGATACTAGCCGCCACTCAGACATGAACAACTCTCCAGTCGTTATTCTTTCTCCTGCACAGCGTCTAGTTCAGCTACCTGGGTTCGGGCATGTCTGGCAATGAGGACCCAGACGCACGCCTCGCACTTCATAGGCCAGGTGTTGCGTCGCTTGCTCGCCTGCAGCGCGGCCTCTTGCCAGTGGGTGCTGTCTGACTGCTGCTGGCCTTGAACAAGCAAACAAAGCCGAGCGAAAGGCTGAAGGCCCGGCAATGCATGCGCATTCAGCAGAGGACGCTTCCCGCTGCTTGCCGGTCAAGAGTTTTCAACACCTGCCCTTGAGCTTTGCGTGCCTTGGGGAAACGTTGCGGGCTTGGGAGGTCAAGGCCAAAGTGTCCGAACAGCGGAGACTCGCTTTGCCAAGCGTAGCGCGCATTTAGCGTCGCTTGCTTGCCTGCAGTGCCCGCTGACCAGTGTCCTGGGAAATGATTGAGTGGTATGAGTCCCCAAATGGCAAGTGAGTGCCATCCATTGATGCTTACACATCAGCATCGCAAAAGCAAGCAACAGACCATTGGAGGGCGTTGCTTCAAGAAACCTTGATTCTTTCACAGAAAGCCTCGATTGCAACGTGAGTTCTGGTATACTAGGCCACAAGCAACATGCGGACACCTTACGCTGAAGAGCTTGTGCGTGACGTTGCCTGGCTTCCGGAGGGACGTGCATGTTTCTGTGGTAGCCTGGGTATGCACGCTGTTTGAAGTCGACCTGCAGAGGGGAGGGGCTCTCCTGAGCAGCTTAGTGCTGGACAGGGCCATCAATCCACCATAGAGGGGCACCAGTCGCATCGGTCGCCCCAAGGTAACAGTCGATCCTTTTGGGGCCACATGTTGTTTCCTCTTGAATGGATTTCGATGACCAGTCCCCAAGCCAGTTGCAGCTAGTGTCGCTTCAATGCCCTGCAACTACTCGGGTTGTCTCTGCAAGGTCGGCTGGTTCGTTCGTAGGATGTGAATGCTGCCCGAACTCGGGGCTTGACAGATCCGCCGCTTTCGGGCACACGATTTGCGATCAACGCATGGCAGCTGTGTGGCAGTCGCGAGAATCGCGCTGTCTTCCGCTGGATGACTGTTAGCAGCCCTCGATGTTCCGGCCCTCTTCGAGCTTCAGCTGGCAGTTTTTGGGTTGCCAGCAGCGCGTTTTTTGATGATAAATATTTTCAAGCAAACGTCTTTGGTGTGGCTCTTGCAAGCGTGAGGTGTGGGGCATGGCTCGCTGGCATGCCGCTGCACGTGGAGGGTCGTTGCGCGTGAGCATGGAAGCGCGCGGATTGCGCGATGTTGTTCCAGGGTGCCGCGAGCCCTTGAAAGATCAAAGTGCAAGGGTCTCAAGGGTACCGTCAAAATGCACTCACCCCATTTAAAGCTGCTTTAAGCGAGACAAAGATCGGATGGTTTCCTTGGCTTTTCCAGGGCCCCAATTTCCATACCCAGATCGCGCGCAAGGCGTGTGTTCTTGGGCGTTGAGCCTGCGGCATCCGCTCACCTTGAGCGCTGCTGGGGTATCATTGGTTGGGTGCGCCGCGTCAGCGCGCGTCGCTGCACCAAGATGACTTTGGCAGGTAGGGCGAGTGGGCGAAAGGGATGGTGATGGGGTGGTGAAGAGCGCCTTGAGCAGGAAGGCTAGCAGCCGAACCACTGCAGCACCATCTTCCATTCCACGGCATGCGGCCCGCCTCGGCCTCAATGGCGTAAACGCCATCAAGGTGGCTCCCTGCTGCAAGATCTCGACCACTAAAACGTGCTTCGTGGCGATGGCGGGGGTGACAAAGCCCAGCAATGGGGCGAGCGCCAGGGTGGCTAGGATTGCCATCAGTGCTTTGGCTCTGTGCGTACTGGGCACTTGCCATGGAAGTGACGTTGACCCACCATTCTCCGTCCAGTTCAGCGACCTTCCCGTCCCGGACCTTGATGCGAGCCTTGGTGACATCAGCTTTGAAGAGAACCTGGGGGCCATCAAACCCACCAATAGGTTGGCCCTGGCTGTTCTGGAGCCAATGTAGCGCCTGGGGCCGTTCTCCGTGTTGTTCTTGATGTGAACCTTACCACAGAGCCGTCATAGGTCCGGACTTGATCGCCCTCGTCAATGGCCAGAGGTCCGCGGCACGGTTCTGACGGAGAGAAGGCGCACACACTCGCCGCCTCTTCCCATGAAGGCCGCAGAAGCTGTCCAGATAGCGTGTCGTGCACACTGCCACGCAGCGCAATCTTCCTGGTGCCACGAAAATTGCGACGAAGCTTAGCTTCACAGGCTGAGCCCCAAGATGGTTTCCTTTGGCCTCGGGGCAAATGCTCCACCCTCGTGCAAGGGATTTCCGAGCACTGCGCAGTGGCCACGACCATGGCCAGCCGCCCGTTTTTTGCACAAAAACACGCCCGTGCACGTGTCACCTGTGCTGTGATCCAAGACATGGCGCAGCCAAGGTTCATCGGGCAAGACTGATTGATCTTGCAGATTGATCAGCAACGAGGAAGGGGTAGCCAAAGGTACAGGCGGGAGCCTGTCATTAGCCGACCACGCATGTCTTCTTGATTCGCCCTTGGTACGCAAACGTGTGCAGCTCCCCTTGAAATCATGGCATCGCCCTCTTTGCTGTTTGCCAGCGTGGGCTGCAGGTGCCCTGCGGTGTGCTCGTATGGCGTGTGTGGACTGTGTGGGGCCTGCCGCATCCTTCGAGTCAGAGCCCGCCTTTGAACGGCTGCAACGCTGAAGCTCGCTCAAAGAATCTCAGGGCCCGGTCGTTGCTTTGGCTTGGGGTGCACGCGCATGCTGGTCGCAGGCAAATCTATGCGCACTTGACCGTGTACGGTAGTTTAGTTGCAGTGCCTCTGGGCTGTAGGATAAGACCTGGAGCCATTGACTTTCAAAGTCCATCAAGGCCACTCTCCGCCCCTGCATTCAGCGGAGCCCCGGTTTCATGGCCGCTGGATGGATGTGACCCTGCTGAGGATTTTGCTTGGCTGGAGCATGGCTCACACGAGTTTACCACTTCAAGTGCTGGAGCGTCTCAGGATCCAAGCTTCTCATGTCCTTTCCGGGGGTCCTCCTGATAGAGGGGACACCCGAGAAAACATCCCGGCGCTGAACTGCCGGCTGCTTCTGAAGGGTGGCCGACATGACCATCAACATCTTCCAAGCTGCGCACACCAACAGTTCTCACCAAACGCTGAGGATAGGGGACCTCCGAAACACAGCCGGCGCGCCGGCAGTGAGTCAGGGGTCCCCACTGCACTTCAAGGCAACTCCACGAGTTCGTGTTGCTTGGTCACCATGGAAAACGGTTCACCCTCATCTTGAAGGCAGGCCGGAGTGATGGAGGGCTCTGAAATGCGGCATGGAACATCTCGCGTATTTGGCCTTACTTAAAGCGGTAATCCTAGCACCCGGCCTCTGGTTTCCGCAGGCAGCGTGTGTGATAAGCTTGCCATGCTGAGAGGACGCCATGGCGCGGGCGCCGCAGTTCTCCACAAAGTTCGCCCCATTGCTCTGTCAGCTGTTCCCTACGCGCGACCGGCGCGCGTGCCTTGAGCCGCTGCATTGGCAGCGATGTCATCATGAAACGGCCCAGGGCTTGTTTCTTGATCAGCCCGCTTGGATTCAAGACTCGCGCAACGCGACTGTGTTGCCCCATGGTCTTGCACGGCGCTTGTCCATGATTCAGTGCCTGTCGAGTGGCGCCCATTTTCAGCTGAGCCGTGCAAGCGCCCGATTCAGGACGCCCGGGTCCCAGGTCTGATGCATTCTGCGGCCCTCCAAATAGGCGATGAGACTCGAAAGCCCCGGACCTCGGCATCGAAGCCTCGCTTCTCCATCTTCAGCCCTCCCTGCCTGGCACGGGCACAAGATCTACATCGTTTTGCCGGGAACGGAGCGTCTCACTGCCTCAGAATGACCTGGCAATTTGATGTCTTGGACCGAGCGACAAGTGCAAGCATCACATACTTCTGGGAACAACGACAAACTGCGTCCCATTTCACGGACATATCCTGTCAAGCAGGGCTATTTGTGATGCCGGGAAGATGCGTGTGTCAAGTCAATTCCAAGAGCTGTCCGGATCTTTCGACATTTCGACATCCCCCCGATGTGTTTCGCCAGTTTTGGTCCGCGCCGGTTGGGTGTCCCGAGCCGTCGCGGCTCTGCTTTGAGAAAGGCGCCTTTTGATGCTAAGGCCTGGGGGTTAGGGGTTGGGGAGTTGAGGTGCGCAGAGATAGACTTCAGTGAGGCTGTTGGAGTTGCCGGAGATGAAGAGCTGGTCACGGTCTCCCGTCCATACGGTTTGTAGCTCAGTGAGGGCATGAGATGAGTGAGATGAGGCACGAACACAGATCGCCCCATGCGACTGGATCCTTGGTGCTGCGGGTTTCTTGTGCCGTCGGAGCATCCAGAGCGCTTGCGGCAGCTTGCGCGTGACTGTGTCAACAGACTGCCCATAACTCGCGCCGATCATCACGCAGACTGGCGTCCCGAGACTTCTGTCACAGACAAATTGGTTCGACTGGACGAAGTTGTTTGGCCCCTACGTTTGACGAGTTGCCAAGCCAAATGATTGAAGAGAGGCAGGAAATGTGCAAGATCACGGCTGTTCCAGCACTTTGTGAGAATTTCAAAGTGAAAGCAAGGAGAACCGGAGAGGCAGTCACACAGTGCATGCAAGCCATTGTTTCTCACAGTTCCGCACTCCAGCCGCCCACGGAGCGTCGTGCCTTCTCCCAGAGGAACATTTGATCTTTGCGATTCTCATCGCGGGGATGGCCACCGTGCATCGCCCATTCAGCTCAGAGAGCAGAACAGAGCTGATCTGTGCGCGTTGGAGTCGCGACAGTTTGAGTCCCAAAGCCTGATGGCAGAGTAGTGCACGCAAGCCACATGCGGGCCCCTCGGCGCGCCTCACGGGCCCCGAAGGCTGGTCTTGTGAGGGCCAAGCACGTTCATGTCCGGCTCAAGCAAGCCTGTCTCGGGTTGTTGGCGCCATTCTGTCTGGCAACGGCAAAGTAAGACTTTCATGGAGCCATGAATGCCGCTTTGGCGAAGGCAGGTCTTGCCGAGGCGAGCTCATAGCGATGCATTGCGGGATCCGCGTCACAAGGACTGGCTGAACAACGCTTGATCAGGGAAGTCATCTCATTGCTGGAATCCGCATCGTTTATAAATGGCAGCGTGACTGCGCCTTTGCGGCACCACATTCACGAGGTAAGACTTGCAAGAATCGCAGCACGTGCTTGTTGTAATTGCAAGGCATGGACACGTGGGAGCCAGGCTTCATTCGCTGGCAAGATCACTGACACAGTTAGGGGAGTGCACCCGTGACCAAAAGCCTTCGTGAGCAAAGCTCGGCGGCGATGACTGCAAGCACTGCGCATGTGCAGCAGTCTTAGCTAAGACCTCAGTCAAACGCTGGGAGCCAACTCATAAAAGAGGGCTTAGCGTGAGCGTGGCGCTGGTTTTGTGAACGCGGAGCTCTGCGACATGTTGAATCTTTCGCTGTTTGTAAGGCAGAGTGCCCAATTCTGCTGAAGAAAAAACGCGCGGGCGAAAAGTTCTCGGCGCTGCCCCTTTCCGTTTGCAACGTGATCTATCAGCGCGGGTTCACTCTCGCAGCCAGGCGCATCGACATATGCGCGTCAAAGGGGTGCTTGCGGAAGTCTCTAGGCAGAGACCGCGGTGTTTTTTTTTGCACACGTCCCCAGTTTCAAGTCAGTAGGCAGTTAAAGCGGCGGATGACAGGGTATGACATAAGCCTTCGGCTCTCAAAGAAGCTCAAAGTATTCAAGTACTTGCAAAGCGCAAGTCGAAGTTGTAGTATGAGCACAACATGAAGCCAAGCTAACTTGGACAAGATCAAGGACCAGTCCGGTCCCTTTGGAGGCCGTGAATTGTGAGGTGCCTCTCCTAAGCTTTGCCCCCCTTTTTCCCCGTTCTAAAGAGCGGACAGCTTGACCTGCCATGCCCGGCCAACCTGCCGGGCCCATGCGCCATGTTGCGCATAGAGTGAAGGCTCAGCGGAGTTGCGCAGTCCCGCCGCGCCTTACGCCGCGGGGTGCAGGCTGAACTTGCGCCAGTCGAGGCTTTGCGAGAGTGACATGGGATGCGTGGCGCTGGCTTGCCCGAAGCACCAATAGTGATGACGGTGAAGATGCCTGCGGGGCTTCGGTGCTGTGCAAGGACCTGCTCAGGCCAAGGTGTGAAGCGTGAGCTCTCCGCTGAGTTCCTTGGAGCATCCTGTTCCGACGCTCCGCTTGCCAGAGTTTCGGGCAGAACAGTAGCGATGAGATGGTGTACTATGCGAGGTGATACAGTCGTTGCGTGGCGGTGTTGTTTCAGGAAAGAACCTGGACCTTGACAGCATCCGCCACGCCAGGGGCATGCAGGCGTATGGTATTCCCGGCTGGGCAAATCTTGTCACGACCGCCCAAGGCGGTGAATTGGCCAATAGGGATTTCATACTTTAGGTGCGTGAATCGTGGCTTGCCGGATGGCAAAGAGGCATCACTCTGGAGCGACTTCCGCTCCGCAACGGAAGGGATGAACGGCTGGTATGATTTGGCAGCTTGATTGCTCTCACGCTGATCAGTGGCGGCATGCACCCTTGTGAACATTCAGCTCATTTCAATCATTTCAGTAAAGGACACAAGAAACATTTGGTAAATAGATGTTAAACAATACATATATATATATATATATATTCGAAATTGTATTGCTCCGGCGCCGGCCTCGCATGTCCGCTGCGCTGCGCGGTGCATGGATGCACGCGATGGACGGCGGCTGGATGGGAATGGATATGGACATGGATATGGCTATGGATAGGAATATGAGCAGGAATATGGATCTGGATATTGGGGGATGGGGGGATGATGGAATGGAATGGAATGGAATGGAATGGAATGGAATGGAATGGAATGGAATGGAATGGAATGGAATGGAATGGAATGGAATGGAATGGAATGGAATGGAATGGAATGGAATGGAATGGAATGGAATGGAATGGAATGGAATGGAATGGAATGGAATGGAATGGAATGGAATGGAATGGAATGGAATGGAATGGAATGGAATGGAATGGAATGGAATGGAATGGAATGGAATGGAATGGAATGGAATGGAATGGAATGGAATGGAATGGAATGGAATGGAATGGAATGGAAGGATGTGGATGGGATGGATGGATGGGATGGGATGGGATGGGATGGATGATGGGAATATGGGAATATGGGAATATGGGAATAATATAAATATAGTTGATCCAAATTCAGAATCACCCCAACCGACGCTCCGGGAAACCATTCCCTAAGGACTGTGGGAATATGGGAATATGGGAATATGGGAATGGGAATATGGGAATATGGGAATATGGGAATATGGAATATATGGGAATATGGAATATGGTGAGGTCTATGACTGGGGAATATGGGAATATGGGAATATGGGAATATGGGAATATGGGAATATGGGAATATGGGAATATGGGAATATGGGAATATGGGAATATGGGAATATGGGAATATGGGAATATGGGAATATGGGAATATGGGAATATGGGAATATGGGAATATGGGAATATGGGAATATGGGAATATGGGAATATGGGAATATGGGAATATGGGAATATGGGAATATGGGAATATGGGAATATGCGATGGGAATATGGGATGGGAATATGGGATGGGAATGTCTAAGGGCAAAGTATTTATTACTATAAGATGTGATGTGATGGGATGGGGTAGAATGGGTTGGGACGGGACGGGAGACGAACATAGCTGTTCGCCGTAAACATAATGATTCGGCCGAAATATCGTTGCAGCGGCTTTATTCCAAATTTAGGGTTTTTCCCACTTTTTGTTCGCTTTGTTTGATCGTTTTAATTCTTTGTTATTTTGTCTATTTCTTTACCTTTATTGGATATGTTTTATGATATGAGGAATAGAGGACGAAACAAAGAGAGGAAATAGATTGGCTTATTTTGTTTTATTTATTATTTGTTTGTTTCTTGTTTATATGTGTGTTTTTATTTGTTGAATTATTATTTTGTTTGTATATGTGTTTTCCTATTCTTGTTTGAAAATAATGAAAATAGAATAGATAGTAGGTACATATATGAAGGTAAGGTATGAAGAATGTTAATATAAACAACAAAGTGTTTTTTTTGTATGTTGATGTAATATTTGTTTTTAATTTTGTGCTGTTCTTTATGTTGTTTTGTTTTGTTTAATTGATTGTAGGTATTGGAGAGGTGAAAATAGAGGGAATAAACAAACCATATATTTGTTTATTTTGTAATTTATATTTTTATTAAATTGTTATGGTTTATTTGTTATTTGTTTATTTATTTATTTATTTTTATGTTTTTTTGTTTACATTTTTAAATATGATTATATATGAACTGGAGGATATAAAATAGAGATATAAATAGGATATACATATGAATAATTTGGAATAAATCTATGTTTTTCTATTATTTCTGGTATAGGAAGGGAAAAAGAAGGTATATAGGAATTGATTCAATGTTGTTTTTGAGATTTTGGAAATTAATAATGTGTTTTTAGTTTTAATTTTATTATTATTATTATTATTGTATGTGTTTTTAATTAAGAATAGAGAGATTAAGCGATAATTATTTTTGTATATATTTTAGTATTATTATTATGATTATTTATATTTTTTCTTGTTGATGGATGGGAGTGGGTGATGGATTGATGATAGAGGATAAAGGAAGGGAATTTGTGATCGAGGATCAGAATAAAGGATTATTTTGTTTTTTTTATTAATGAATATATTTGAAATAAGTATGAAAAAGATAGAGATGAATCGATATGAATGAGGAAGGGGAATGAATGAGAGGTGGAAAGAAATATGTGTTTTATTATTTTATTATATATTTGTTATTTGGAAATATAATTGTAAAGGTTTTGAAATTTAGTATTTATATAGTAATATTAATTGTTTATATATATAGAATTATATGTATTAGGGAAATAAAATTTGTTAGGATTTTTAATTTTTGGGATATGTTATTTTATATTTCTTGAATGAAATTATAGTGGAATATATTATTAATTGTGTTTATTGAGTTTTAATTGATTTATATTATATAGGTATAATGAAATAAATTTTATATTTGGAATTATTTTTTGTAATATTTTGAGGGATGATAAAGTTTTTTTTAT